AGCGGGGACGACCGCGCGGCGGCTGGTTGCGCCACGTGAGGCACGTTAACTGCGGCTTGCTGCCGAGCAGTCGCCTCTCGTGGGATTGCGCGCTGTTCCTGACAAGGGGGGCCACCAACGCCGCCGTCGACCGCCGCGCCTGGCTGCACCTGCACGAGAACGTGGCCGAGGCGGATATCGAAGCGCGGAGGGGCGAGATCGGGGCGCTGCTGAGGGCCCATCCGGAAGAGGGGGGGCTGGGCAGGAGGATTCGCGTGGAGGGGGTCGAGAAGGTCAAGACGTATGCGCCGGGGGTGTGGCATTGCGTGTTCGACGTCCTTGTTGAGGGTCCAGGGATGATATGAACGTGAACGGGTGCGGGTGCGGGGTGTTGTATATATACCTGCCTGCGCTGTCCCGGCATGTATGGCATACGTCTTGAGAAGTATATGGTACATATGTCCTACCTACCTACCTACCTAGGTAGTAGGTCTATATATTCGTCAGGTCTTTGTACACATGGGGGAGAGGAAGAAGGCCGTCTCCGGTTGCGTCATCTTACAAAGGCGCTCGCTGCCGTTTCATCCGCCCCATCATTGTCGTTGTTCGTTATCGTGAAGAAAGCCACCCGTATTCCCGTGTTCCCGTATCCCTGGTTCTTTTCCATTTTTCCCTTTTTTAATGCCATCCCCTCCCCCTTTCCCTTTCCATGACAAGATGATACATGCGTGCCAGATCAAACCGAGTAGTCCCACAACAAGGAAAAAAAAAAAGCAAAAAAAAAAAAAGCTTGAGAATCTCGACAACGCCGAAAAAAAAAAAAAAAAAAAAAAAACCGTAGTCCCCACCCTCCTCCTCCTCCTCCTCCTCCTGCTCCTCCACCTCCTCCTCCTCCTCCTCCTCGTCCACATGCATGGTCCCAGCCCTACTGCCTCCTAAACTTGGCCGGAATGTTCTCCTCCATGACAGCCAGCCTGTCCCTCCGCTCCTGCTCCTCGGCCTGCCTCTCCAGCTCCTCGTGGTGGCGGAAGTGCTCAATGTCCTCGGGGTGGGTCAGGTCCTCCAGCTGGGTGTTCTCGTCGTGGTACTTCTCCCAGTGGTGGATCTCGTACTCGTACTCGTCGTCGCCGTGGTGGCCCGGCCCCGTGCCCAGGTCCGGCAGCGTGCCGCCCCGGGCGAGGAAGTCGGCGAACTCGTCGTGCGCGACCAGGCCGTCGTGGTTGGCGTCGAGCAGCTGCAGGAGGTGCTGCAGCACGTCCTGCTTCTTCTGCAGCGGCATGTCCCTGTTGGACGGGTCCATGAGGCCGTACGTGCGCATCAGTTCCTCGCCCTGCCACACGCCGTCCGAGTTGTAGTCGTGGAGGGCGAAGAAGGCGCCCGCGTCCCAGGCATCGATGTGGTGTTCCTCTGGAGGAGGGGGGGCCGCGCGCTTGGCTGTCAGTAACCACAGCAAAAGTGAAAATATAAAAGAAAGGGCCAAAGTGGAAAGAAAGAGGCGTAAGTTGGAATATTCTTTTGCATCATCATCATCATCATCATCATCCTCTACTCAGAGAAAGCGAAGCATGACAAGAAAAGGAACAGCGGGTTGGTGAGAACGTTTACCGGCCATGTGCTTCTCCATCCATGTCGCATCAGCGCTGACAATCGGCTTTTGCCTGTGGCTGCCGTGAGCGGTGGCCAGCCCCGAAAGGACAAACAGGATCAGGTACGCGGTGCGCATGATGCAGAACGGCAAAAAGGGTAGGCAGGTAGAGTCGTGGGTGGTTTTTCGTCGTCGGCGTTCGTTGCGTATGATGATGTGCAGTGGAAGTAAACACGTGCGTGCACTCGGAGAGAAGGGCCGGCCACTGAGGAGAGGAGAGACGCGGACAGTTACAACTTAAAGAGGAGACGGGCCACGGCAAACCCGCTAGCCCGGACCCGCTCCTCCAGACTAACTGGTGGGAGGGTCCACCCGCTGCAGTCGGCAAGGAACTTGTCGATTAGTGCTGACAGTTTACTTGCTCGATGTACTTTTTTTACCAGTAAACACCCATTATAAAACTTATTAGTTCAAGACTGTTGAATTGGCGTCTCATGAGGTTCAGTTCTCATGACAGCTACGGTGACTGTCGTAGAAGGACGTCGCGCTTCATATTCTCTGTTTGAATGCACGCACGAACCAACCTACAACACTACTGTACCAAGGGTCCAAGGCAGTTAGTTGCAGCCTACGCTGAACAACTTCTCAGTCACGCTCGGGCCACCTCGCAACCAACAACTCGCGCAACACTCGAGTGTCCAGAGCCAGCACACAGGAAAAACATCGCCGGTGAGAAACTGCTGATTGCAGAAAACTTACTGCGTGGCCATGTGTTCAACCACTTTGCCACCATCACCGCCACCATCACCGCCACCAAACCCTCCCCCCAAAAGTAGGAAAGAAAATAAAAGCGTCCTCTGACATCAGTTAGCCTTTCAAGGGTCTTTCAAGGACAAATTCCTCTCATCATGTCCAAATACGCCCCGAATCCAAAAGTCCCATAGACCGTGTAAAAAAAAAAAAAAAAAAAAAAAAAAAAAACAAAGAACTGTGAAAAAGAAACCGTCATCACTGCATTAATGTGTTATCCAGCAAAACCTTTCCGTAAAACGCCAAATTTGTATGCTTTGCCCAAAATCCAAATACAAGGCAACTCCTGCCGCTCGTTTTGATTCACACCGGACTGTACCAATGGAGAATGACGTCTCGTTTTGTGGACGTGGCTCCCTTGCCCTTGTGAGCATCCAGTCGTCAGCCGTTTTCTCTTTTATTGGCCTCTCCTCGGCTTTGCCATTTGGATGCTTCTTTCTGAGCGCCGCTTGGTCAAGAGGCGTTTTGAAACGCTGTGCTTGTGTACCTCATCGGCTCAAAGGTCTTCATGACGTGACTGAAGACGACTTGAGAAATGTGGAGCCTGTGCTGTCTTATGTCAGTCTTTGCGACTCGCTCGAAGAATGAACCGGGGGATCGCGCTCCGATTACACTAGTCGATGAACGGTTTCTTCTGGCCTCCCACAATGCACAGCCCGAGAGCGCGTAAGCAGTCGCGATCGCTGGCTAAGATGATGTTCCTAGCCGGCAACATGGGATTGTTTGGATCGACAAAAGACGCATCCTTGGCGGCTTGCTCGATGGCGTCCATTTCCTCTTTGCAGGCTTGCTGATCTAGCGGACAAATCACAATGGGTTGTCGTAGGGTCACATCGCGGGCGCCGCTTAGTTGCACCTATTCATCGACATGTCAACAAACTTCCACATGGAGCCAAAGAGGCGCAATGGGCCAACGGAGACTTCTTTACCTTGATATTCAAGTAAAACTCGATCTTGTAGAGCGAAGAAGTGGTTGTAAAAGACGAGACCTCGTACAAGGGAAATGCTGGTTTGCCCCTCTTCACAACACCGTCTGCATCCCTCAAGTCTTTGGAGGGAAACACAAGTCCGATGTTCGTGGCATAGCCAGCTTCCGGGATTTTCATCTTGACCACCTGTACTTGCTTCGACAGCTTGTTGATCTTCTTGATCGGCTCGTCTCCCTCCGGGTTGTAGGTGACTTCTTCCTCTATCGTCAGGTGTATCTTTTCTATGCTGACCCGTTTCGCTTTGCTAAGCCAGTCGAGATTTGGCGACAGTCTGATGTAGATGGTGATTGGATCTCCTGGCCCGTAGCTCCACCGCGGCAGATTGATGCCGAGGTGAATGACGTTGTCGGAAGTAATGAGCTTGGTCTCGGGCTTGTTGTACATGCCGAATGTAGACAGTGTGTCGTAGCGTTGCAAGGGTACCGGAAAGCTGTATTTGTATTGGTTGCTGTGGCCTTGCTGTACGGTTACGACCAGTTCGTAGAACGTCTCTGCTGTCCTGCTTGGAAGCTGTAGCGAGGCCGGTGGTATCCTGCGATTTGTTTCCTCTCCGCCGCGCCCAAACGGTATGAACAAAACAAACGGCAGATCCATAGCAATGACGCTCTCCGCCTCTTTTCCTGTTGCACAGCGGAACAGTAGAACCTCTTTGCCCACAACGTCTGTGGCCTCCTTCCGAGGGGTACCAAGATGGCGCTTGGTCAGGCTGTCGGCGTCGGGGTGGATCGTTTCTCGTCTTTGCAAACATATCCTGACCAGTGACACTGGGACAGGCAGCGAAAACCCTTGGCCAGGCCGGATTTCGACCTTGCCCTCGACTCGTGGCTGGAAACAGGAAGACGTCAATACAGTCGGGATGGGAGGCGCCGAGCGTGGCAGGGTGGGGGGGGGGGGGGGTTGGGATCTTCCGAGAGCTACTGGGACGTCTGGGAGAATTTCCAGGAGTGATCAACAACAATAGAGGATGCATGACGTACCAAAGTTGCTGAGATGCCGGGGTAGCCCACGAGAAAGCCGCTGTTCGGGGGGCCAGAGACCCTCACGCTGGCTGGCGCGGAGGCCATGATGCTGTTGTTGGTCCCGCCAGCGCAAGCAAGCCGGCGGAGACGGCAAGTGCAGCGGCAGAGGGTGGCGACGCTTTGTTATGGCGAGGGATGAAGCCGTCGAGGGCGAGGGCGGCCAAAGCCTTCATGAAGGACGGCAGTGTGCAGCTGCTGGTGTCGAGGTCGAGGCCAGGTCGAGGCCAAGTCGAGGCCAAGTCGAGGTCAGCCTCGCTGACGACAACAAGTCGTCGTGGAAAGCCGCCCTGCTGCGTCGGCGGGCCTCTTGCTGGGGTGGGTCGGGCAGCGGAGACGGGGACTCGCGACTGGCGACTCACGAGTCAAAGCCAGGCAGCCGACGACAGCTGCAACGGAAGGCGATTGGCTACAATTGACAACTACATCCCACTGTAGGCCCCTTTGAAACAAACCCTCATCTAGCAGCCTTTCAACGCCTAACTGCTACTTGCCCTTCTCACAAAAAAAAGAAAAAGAAGAGCAGGACAGCAGCTTGACTGCACTTTGGAAAAATGACCAGACAAGCAAAAGGAGACCGGAGCTGCGTCTTGTCATCTCGGATAAAAAAGCAAAACATCCTGCGAGCCGTAGGGATCGAACCTACGCGGGCAGAGCCCATTGCGGTTCAAGTATGGTCCAGCACCCTGGAGCGACCTAAACACAACGCCTTAACCACTCGGCCAGACTCGCAAACGTCAGGTGACTGGTTGCTGGTCCCATCTACGCACTATAGACCTCACATCATAATAGCTTTTCCAACGTCTTATGACGCGGCCCACTCTACCATGTGCCTCAGAAATGCAAGTTCGACTCAACTTCATGTGAAAGAACCGGTTGTCCGAAACCAGTCTCGACAGCAATTGTCAAAGGGACGGTCTCATCCTCCCTCGTCGCTCATCTGCTCAAAAGACGCGACCGCAGAATCTCGACATTCGCACCCTCCAACCTGTGGGGAGGGAGAAGGAAACCGAATCTCGTGCGAGTGAAATCTCATTCGCAGCGTTTTCCATCTTCTCTCAGTCTCAGTCGGGGCCTGCCCGAAGAAGGGCACTCTCCGAAGTTTCCTCCCCGCTGTTTGCACGTCCGAGACTTGCGAGGGAGAAGCCCTCTGGCACCTGCGTCCTGCATGCATCGTTGAGGCGTGAGAAGTGCCACTGAGTTCGTTCCACGAGCAAGCATCACCATGCCCTTTGACGATGACGACAATCTCACCTCCGACGTAGGCCGAGGTCAACCGACGCAACAGGGCGGACCGACGGCCGAAGAGGCGCTAGAAGATGGCATCCCCGACTACAAGCTCTTTGCGACCATGTTCAGCAAGAAGGGCGTTTCCAGCAAAGTGATCCGCAAGGGCGAGAAGGACTTTGAATCCCACGGGACGCAGGCCCAGGAGAACACTCTCGAAGCCAGTCGCACGGCCTTGGAAGAGGTTCTGAGCTACACGAGAGTGCATAGGCCGGAAACTTGGCTGCGCGCTTGGTACTTCCCAGACTGGTGGACTGCGAACTCGCTGCCAGCCAGCAAGTCACACGATGCTCTGCTGCAGGACCGCGTGGTCGTCATGGAGCACGAGCGCGGGAACTGGATGCGGGATATCGGTCGAGCCGTCCCGGGCAGCAAGGACCAGCTTGGGGTCGGGAGACTGTGGCTCTTACCCGAGGAGGCCTTGTATCTGATTGAAAGAGGCACGGTGGACATATGGTGGCCGGACAGGGAGTTTGAGGAGTTGCTGCCCCGAGTCACGGACGGGGTCCCTACGAGGACTTCTTTCGGGCCCGATGACTACGACGCCGGACTGCCGCTCACCTTGGAAGCAGCATATTCCTTCCTCATAGGACATGAAGGGGAGCGCGGCAAGATTACGTTGCCCAAGTTTCAGGTGTATACGCATCTCAAGCGTGCCGGGTTTCACGTCATGCGCGCACCGTCAAGCAACGACGTCGACGACGCCTCTTCGACCCAAGAGCACTTTTCGGCACAGTTCACGTCACTATGGGAGTGGCTCTTCTCAATGGTCCCCTGGCAGCGACAGCCACATAAGCATAAGCCATTCGGCCCCCTCGTGTCACCCGGCCTGTATCGAGCCTACCGGCCCGTTTATCAACAGCTGGCATTGCTCCCGCGGCATAAGCCATCAGCCGTGCCGACGCCGACGCCGACGCCGACGCCGACGCCACAACAAGCCCAAGAACCCTTCCGCGTGCATTTTCACGTCTGGAAAGGCACCGGCGCGCCCTTCTCCAAGAAGAACCCTCCGCCACCCGACTTCCGCATCGCCGTCTGCGACACGGCTGACTCGAGCGTGCCGGACCTGGACCAGATCGAGGCCCTGTTGGCGTCTACCCCGTTTGACCCCCCGAACCCGGCGTGGCAGGGCCCTGGGAAACTGTATCAGCGGCTGAAGCACGGATACAGAAACGTCCTTGTGGCGGTTGTGGATCGGGGCCTGGTCAATCTCATGCGATTTGGCGAGGGCGCATTTGGCGAGGAGCCGCTGTTTGGGAGATTCGACCAACGGGGTGGCGGTCGGGGTGGAAGGAAAGGTGCGCGCGGAGGAGGAGGAGGAGGACGCGGGAGAGGAAGGGGACGTGGCAGGGCAAGGGGCGGTCGAAGCTGAAAGTAATGCCATGTTCTCTCATCAATGACTGCGCTGCTCGTTGACTTCGCTTCGTTTGTCTGCCGTCATCATCGGCAATCATCCATTCATCCGAGTGAAATGAGTAGTCTTCGCGCCATAAGACATCCAAATCCTTTGTCGTAGAAGGCCAATCCTCGGCAATTAGGTCCGGAGGCGATATTGATCATCATTGATCAATGTTCATTGACGGATGGGAGATGGATCCATGTTTTGTTTCTTTCTTGTTTCTTGTTTCGGGTGGGGCTGCGTCCAGCTACTAGGCATTGAGCATTTTGCACAAGCGATATGAACCAATGGCAGCAACCCCTTCCAGCGAACAGAACGGGAGTTTCACGAGAAGAATCCAACTCTCGACGAGAAACCAGAGGCGCCGTCTTCTTTATCCCGCGCCTCTATTCCCATGTCTTTGTGATGTGCTTTGTGAAACGAAAGTAGGTAGTCTGTCCAAGAGGGGTGGATCCTTGCGGCAACCAGTTGTCCCCCCGTCTCTCCGTCTCTCATCTCTCTCTCTCCGTCTGTCCCTCTGCAAACCCCTCTCCCCCCTGTTACCTGTTACGTGGACGTCTTCCGATAACCAACATGATCGGCGCCGCAAGTTGAATCATGTCACATGCGAGGGCCGCTCGGCGCTTGTCTTGGCGCCGATACCACTGTCACTGCACGTAACGCACACGGAAGACAACTCGGGGCCGCAAATGCGTGTGACACGGGCAGATGATACAAACACAAACGAGCAGCAATCCGGCAGTTTTTGATTCGCGTCACGTTGGCGCCCAGCGGAGATTTGAACGCCAACGATGACGGGCGGTCGAGTTGAGGGCCTGGGCCTGGCACCGCAAGAGGACTAGAGTCTGGCAGTGCCTGGGCAAGTTGACGAGGCAGACGCTCGCTATGCATCTTAGATGGCATTGGCAACTTGGCGTGTCGTGATCCTGTGAGGCCGACCGCCTTCACATGTACGCCCGAGACAAGGGGAGAGATATTGGGGAGGGGGAGGCAATTTGGACAGCCAATCCAACGCACTCAAGCACACCTCCTAGGCTTCCTGCTTCCCACAACGCGGCGATGTGGCAATGTGCTTTGTATGTGTTTGTATGTGTACGTATATGGATGTACCCCGGTCCAATCCCATCAGAGTCAGGACCAGGACCCGTCCGATCTTGTGCTGTAGCCTGTAGTTGCAGACTTGATTCGGTTATGACCGGCTGCCGTCATGTCATGTATGTACACAGTGCGCAGTACATGATTGACGGAACGTCGGGCCAAACGAAAAAGAACGCGCCTGTTTCCTTTTCATCCGTTTCTTACCGCCCCGTCCCACACCCGACCATGGCAGGTCGTCCCTTTGAGTGAGCAAGCAAGAAGCTTCGATCAGAGTATACACTGCCAATGTGGGCAATGTTGCACCCATATTGGGAGTGGAGAATGGGAACCAGTCCCATGCTCTCCGAGGTTACGGGCATCTTTTCAGTCAGACAAGCAAAACGGACCCCCACCCCACCCCCCCTGCGCCTGTTGAAGGTGCTTTCCGTCCGGTTCAGGCGAAACAGAATGACAAGTCGTGGTTGCGGATGCCCCACAACCTGAAGATGCAAAGAGAAAAACTTGCCAGAAAAGCAACCTTGAGAGTTTCAGCAAGGGCGGGTACGGCCATACGAGCAGGGAACCTGGTATGTTTCGGTGTAGGTAGGTACCTACCTAGTAGTAGTTATGCAAGCTGGCTTGGTGGCAATCAACAAATCGGCTGCTCCCTCCAGCAGTGATGGGCGTTATGGGCCGATGCCAGATGGGCAGCGACGCACATGTGATGATGGGAGCGAGCCATGCCTGAAACTGTTGTTTGATGCCACTTGCCAATGGGACTCTCTCTCTCTCTCTCTCTCTCTCTCTCTCTCTCTACAAACGACATGCGGCCCCCGGTTTTTTCCCAGCCGTCTCTGCCATGGTCCATGGTCCATGGTAGGTCCGTGGATGAAGGGATCAATTGGCTCTCGGCGGGGAGGGGACAAGGTGCTTCTTTGTCTTCCTTTTCCCTCTTTTGCCGGCAACGCTCTGAGTGCTGGCTGCCACAGTGTGCCATGAGATGCCATCCCTCCAATATAACCAGGATTTTGATCAGGCTTTGGTTGAACCTGCCTTTCCGCAACTTTGGATTCTGTTTGTTGAGGCACCGGTCGGCCAATCATGTTGTGAGATTCTGTCGCTCTTCTCCCGCACACACACACACACACACACATCCCCAGCTCGGAAG